TGTGGGAGGGGGGGGGGCTCGGCGGGCAGCGGCCTCCCTCAGACACAGCCGGCGGCGGCCTGTGGAGAGTACGCGGTCTCTTCACTCCTCCTGCTCTGTAAAGCCACTGAGGGGCTGGCTGATGTTGGTCACGGGGAAGCGAACGCTTTTCTTTTTGCGAGAAGCCGATTCATTTTGGGTGTGGGTGATGGCGAATAGTTATTGCGAGCTGTGAATTTATCTGTGCCTTTTAAAAAAGAACAGTTTGGCTGCCACCAGGATCTCTCGTGTACAGCAGCTCTAAATGGCATGCGTGCAGAGAGCTGGCTTGGTTCCCTCAGGATGCGTGGCCTGGGTATCTAGGGAAGAACAAGTGCTTGTTCAAAGCGCTGGTCTCTATCTAGGAAGTAAGGAGAGCTCTTCCAGAAGAGCTTGTGCTTTTTTTGGCTGGTTTGGACTCTGCCGAGCAACCCTGCGCTCTCTCTTCCCTTGGGTGGAGGTCATGTAGTTCAGTGCATCTGTGTCCTCAGTGTTTGTTTTGGGTTTGGTTTTGTTTGTTTTGTTTTCCTTGAAATTGGAGTTTAGGGTCTGAAATAGGAGGGAATATGTTTTCTTTGACACGTCCCATCCATCTCAATTATATGTGTATGATTATGAGGAAGAAGTGCATTTCATTTAACTGTCCAATACTTGGGCCTAGCTGTTTCATCTGCTCAAATATCTGTTCAACTTTTATAATTGCTTTGCAGAGCATTGATAGAGACACTTCCTATGTATAAAGATTTTTGAACTGTTACGAAAGGATTTGGTAGCTGAGGCTTACTGACAAAGTTTGTATGAAATCCAGACTGAAATTGCTAGGTAACCACTAGGGGAGTAATAATGTGTACTGGTTAGAAAATGAGACTTCAGATGAAGTCCATAATGTAAATTATTAAGTTAGGTTGATATAAAGAAGCTTCTAGAAAAAATTACTTGACTACTCAGTCCTATAGGGCAAGGAAGGGCTGGATATACTGGAATTTTGTTAAAGTATAATCTAACAGACTGTGTGTACTCATGGGAGCTGTGCGTGCCAATAATGCATTATTATTCTCAAACACTGCTCTTGAAATAATGCTTTTAATTTCTGCTGGTTTATGTGGATATAATTGTGATGAGTATTCAACAGATCTGAAGGTGGATAGCATCTTTATGGCAGCTTTGTAAAAGGCTTTAAGGCAGTATTTTTCTACAACATGCACTGGAAGTGTCCCAAAATTAAGAGAATGAGCTTCATTAAATCCTGTAGTATTACTCTGAGACAAAATGTTACTGTTTTATTTTGCCCTTCAGCAAGGAGAACAGCATCCATATTGTCCATATGAAACAGGGAAAAAAGACAAAATTAGCCCTTGGCATTACATTTCTGTGAGGGTTTGAATATTGACTTTAACTTCGAATGCTAACTAGCTCATTAGTCTCTTAAAAAGTGTCCTGGATAGCAGTAAATGAAGTTTACTTCCATGTTGATTGTTTTTCTGGCAGAGTTGGCCATTGACTTTGGAATAATATGATGTTGATTTGTTCAGCATGTATATGTAGAGTGTTACAGCATCAGTAAGATATTGTGCAAGCTTGGAGTTCCCTTTTTATTAGATTTACAAATTTCCTGCCTGGAGTTAATGTGGTTGTACATGTAAGAAGAAATGAATAAATTTAGCAAAGAGTAATGAACAGAAATGACCCAGGCAAAACAAGTAAGTTAAAAAGCCTGAAAGGGAGATGATTGTGCTGTGACAATATTCTGCTTCAAGCAAGCAGGTGGACAAGAACAAAAGCCAAACTAAGCTTTCACTCACAAGGTCAATTCTTTGACTTGAGAATGAAAACAGTGTGAGATAGCATTCTGTAGTAAGGCTGTGAAGGCTTCACACTGTATCTGTCCTATCACAAGCTTCCAGGGAAATTTGCATGTTTCAGCAGAATTACTGAAGTTTTTCCCAGTCCCAGTTTCTCATCCTGAGAGGTCCTCCATTCTGGAAGAGCGTCTGCTACAGTAGAAGTCTGCAGAAGGTTTGCTAGAAATCACCATATACTGACAGTTATGTCTGGTGATGAATTAAATTAAACAGTTCTGTTTTGTCTGCAAAAGGGTTTTACTGATATAGCTAGATCATCACAGAATACCAAATTTTACACTCCTACTCAAAATGGCTGTGGTGGCAAGTCTGCTGTTTATTTTAACTACTTGGTCTTTAGCTACTACTAGAGGACACGTAAAAGTAGAAGAGGAAAGGATCTTTTCTATATGCATAGTTAAGATATCTTTAAATTTCTTGCAGTGATCCTCAGGTTCTGGTGAGAATTTTAATGTAGTGAATGGTTTTCAATGAACTGCAATTTGCAAGGAACATGTCAGCAGGTGAAAGGAACTTTTGCGTACCCAATTTGATTAATCTAGCAGCTCCCAAATACCCCAAAGATGAAATATGTTAAAATGGTTTTGCCTTGCTTGGACCCCCCCCCCCCCCCCCCCCCCAAAAAAAAAAGGAAAAAGAAAGAAAAAACTTCTCATGAGACACCAAAAACCGGAGTTAGTAATGCATTTCTCTTGGGATAAATTCTGACATCACTGTCTGAAAAGTGTTCCAGACGAATGTGTTCAGGATTTGCTATAAGAATACTATAGGTTGAAAAATACAGAGTACTTAGTCAGCCTCTTTACAAACTCATAGAGGTAATTTTAACTTTTTTCTGCTTCTTAACCTCTGATAAAAATTAAGGTCTTTTTTTTTACTTTGAATACTTAACATACTGAATGAAAAAAAGTGTTGAAAAAAACCATACATCTGTCAGGACTATGTTTGTTTTTCAGCCCTTTCCAAACTTGTGTTCGTGTATCCAAACTCTGAGGGGTATCTGCATCTTTGTGCATCCTAACCAGAAGTTATATGAGTAGCAGCAATGGCTGTTTGTGGACACCTGCTGCAGATCAGGAAGCAGATAAATTCTTCCTCTTGGTTTGTATAAAGTCTGCTGAAAGATTTTCTGTCAACTTGGATCAGCTTGTAGAGTGATTACCAACTGAATTTTACTTATGAAACTGATGTGGTATAATCCTTGGAGAATCACCAAGCAATAAAAAAAACATGGGAATGTGCAGAGAAGGAAAAATGTTTCCAGAATTAGTTCCCTCTCCAGCCAGAAGGTTGTGACCTTTTCTCTGGCACTGTCCATACTCTATGATGAATATTATTGCAGAGCTTGAGGCTGTTTTTCTACTGCATCCAGAAATACTGGACGTTAAGCAAAACAAGTGCAAATTCTGGTATGTTTCCAGATAAGCACGCTGTGTGATAGTGACACAGTCTGTGATGTCTGTAACTAAACTGAGGAACTTGTTAACCTGGTAGAAGACAGCAGTTAAAAACGTCCCCAAGGTGTAGAATCAGTCACTTATGCACACTACTGGAACAGAGAAAGTTTGAGAGGTGGTATCAGAGACCATGATCATAATGTAAACCAACAAATAGATTTCACACCTCTGAAAGAAGGAATTTCTCTCGTTTTGTCTGAATGAATTTCTAAGGTACATAGAAGTGTGTGCTACATGAAATACAAGTCAAGACTTTCGATTCCTAGTTTTCTTTTCAATGTTGCACCATATTGGCAAGGAAGCGTAAAGCCAAATAGTAATAATTAGCTCCTGTTGTATTCAAAAGAAAAATTTCAGTGTGAAAGCCTCAGTGATATTCTCTCGTTATCAGCTTCCTAATCAGGAACTTTTCGAGATCTGATTTATATTGCCATTTGGAGGAGGTGTTGGATATCAGTAATCATAGGTTTGATCGTGAAAGAGAGGAGTGAGGGAACTACAGTGTGCTTCGCTGTAGTGGTCATCTCCCAGTAGAGGGTGCCATTGTTAAATGCAATTTATTCTGAGAAGCACAAACTTCCGGCAATCTGGAGTTTCTGTAGATTGTAGAACTTCCGAAAAAAAATATGTTCATTTCTTTAATGTTCTTTGCAAATAGTCAAATCCAGGGATAAAATTGTTTTTTTATTCTTCTCTAGAGAGGTATAAAGAGACCCTTTTAAAATAAAGACAAATAATGCAAATGCCCCACATTCAAGGGAAGACAATATACCCCAAAAATATATGTAGAAAAAACTCAGTTTGTTCACGGTTCACCAGGGATTTGTCTAGACTTGTGAAAACAGCAACATTTGTTATAATTCTGTTATCTATGAGTATACTGAAACAGGAAGTGATAATTAAGCAAAATAGTTCACAGTCGTAAGGAACCAAAATGATTAAATGATTATATGAATCAGGGATTGGGGGATTAGAAATCAGAACTGCTTTTCTATTTTTGATTTAGTTACTGGAAAGCTTGTGTTGACTTCAGTATAGATGGACACAGATCTCTGGATTTTTATAAATTTTTAAATAAAATGTAGACAATCCCAGACATTTGTAGATACATTTCTATAGCAATTAACTGTTTTTAAAATCAGTGAATTTATACAAGAAATTATGTGGAGCCTCCATTATCAGGGACAAGATTTGATGACCCCAGAATATTATGTTAAGATAAATAATTTGTCAGTAAATCAGTGAGATAGAACTTGAAGGCAACACATGTAGACACTTATCTTTTCTGAAGAAAGTGAAACTCCCATCAGGAATGGGCATTTGAGACCAGGAGACAAAGTTTAGGGGCCCCAGAAGATTTGCTGGGATCAGCGTCTGGTCTGTGAGGAAGTAAGATGTCAGTCCTAAAGACCGGCACTGCGGTGTGCTCTTTACTGTCATGCTAGCCAGATGGAGAGCCAATGAAAATAGCTGAAATGTGGTGTGAACTCCTAGTTTCCTTTCCTGTCATAAGGGACTGGCTGAAAACATTGTAATTGCAGAGGGAAAAATTTGAAAATCTTATTCAGCATTTTGCCCTTGGTTAGGAAAACAGGCTTTGCCTCTGATTTTAGGCAAAGCTCTGTTCAGATGACAGAGCTGATGGTTGTTAGGAAATGTCGTATGTAAACAAGTAGCAGGGGACCCAGCCAACAGAAACAGGGATCATGAATTCCTAGATGAGCACAGCTTTAATGTTTAAGGATCCAATTCATTGGGCAGTAGATTAAATGCAATGATTCCCGTAGCTTTCAAAGGGCATTGCATCGGATATTATAATGACTATTCTGTCTGGTTCAGAAGGTGTGTTGCAATTTTGAGGTCAATCCTACTTTTCCCACAAATATAATAGGGACTGAATAGAGTTCTTTATATGATGTATATTAGAATAACTTTGATCTTGCGTATTATTACATAATTATTATGTAAAACATTATCTTGAGAGATTACAGTAAGAAGCCTGTTAGGGAAATATGCAGCTGTATTACTGACACAGGTACTTTTAAGTTTAAATTCTTTAAGTCAATCTGATTTCTGGTTTAACAATGGAAGATGGTCTCAAGCCATTCTTTTGCATTTGAAATGCTTTTCTCCCAATTTTCATGATAGTTTGGCTTAAATTCCTGCAGTTAAATTTCTTGGATTTTGGTCAATATCAGTTAGATTTTCCTCTCCAGGGCAATGTTGAGGACTTATCAAGAATATGACAGTCTAATCAGCCTGTGAGATCTTATGGAACATACTTCACTTGGGAGTGACATCTCACAACAGCCTCAGGTTTTGGCACCATTAAACCTTACTCCTGACCTAGTTCATCCTAAAAGCTGGCCTTTCCTCCTCCATATGAAACTAGCCTGATTCTGAACTCAACCATATTGGCTCACTCTGAAGGATATTGGCCCACATTCACTTTCTCCTTTCCTTGCTATGGCTAAGAGGAGAGCCTTTGCCCCCCGTGGGAAAGACTGGTGTGGTTTTGCTGAGCTTTGTAGGTCCTGCTGAATTCTTTTATGGGGAAAGGGGGAAGGGGGAAATCTCCTTCCTTCCTATTTTTTATTATCAATAGCAAAAGTTGATCTACCTTTGTTCTCCACCTGCCATGTGTCCTCCTCTTTTCCTTTACCTGGCTCTGGAGACCATTGTTGGCAACTAGCCAAACCATCAGTCTTTTGTTGGTGGTGTATTTCAAACAGACTGGATTAAGCAGAACAAATGCTATTGCTAGTCAACCAGCTTACTTCTTAGTCATTAATTGACATGACTATTGTGCCATTCTGTACTCCCTCCCTGCAAAACAGCTAGGTAGATGCTTGTTCATATTGCCGATACATTGTTAAACAGAAGAGTGTTTCCCTCCTGTTTCCTTTTGCAAAATACCATGCTTATGTGTGTAATACAAGCATTAAAGTACATTTATGGCTTTAAACTATTGTTTTGGGGGAAAAAAATACAGTTTTCATTGACCCCAGGAGAAAAAAAAAGGGGGTTTCATATAAACAGTGAAGCTTATGAGAACTGTATGTCTCATTTATAGGCTTTTGTGAATGTATTTAGTATTGTTTTAAGCAGTGTTTTAACAAGCCTGGAAAATGTCGCTGGAAGTAAAGGAAAGCATTGACTCTGTCTACAAAGGAAAGAACCTAAGGGATTAAGAGTTGAGCACTTGATTTTCAATAATAACTAAATCACTGCTTAGGGAGCTGTGGGACCCACAACTTGAGAAACACTTTTTGAAGGGCGTGATTTCAACTCACTTTATCAAGCCTATAGACTGACTTAAGGCTCAAGTGGAATGACTTAAGTCTGACTTAAAAGTGGACTGATAAACCAAGAAAGGAATACCGTGAACAACTGAAAGGTACTGAACATTGAATTCCTAAAAGTTACAGTGTAAATTTTTTCTGGAAAAATGAAATTGGTGCTTAAATCTGCCACTGCTGCATTGCCAGGTTAGTTAAGTTTAAAAGCACATTCATACAAAAAAATGAAAATAAGAAAAGTAGAAGAGGAGAGATGGGGACAGGACAGTATCTCTGTAGTCCTCTTGCTTTCCTTGTTCTGCCCATCTCTGCCATCCTCTCCCCATTTGAATATCAAGAAACTGGTCATGGTAATGAGATTATGGATAATGATTGCATTTTACTTTCTTCACAGCTAGTCTCCTTCAGAACTATTCCATCTAATCAAAGCTGATGGCTACTGATTTGCTTGTGTTTAGGCTTTCTTTAGGCTTTTTACTTTCTTTAGGCTTTCATCCATAATCAGAAACCCCCCTCCATTTCATGAAAGGAAGTTGAGTAATTCAAGTGTTCTGAATTTTACATCGGTTCCTTACTGTATCTCAGGGACATTTATTATACCAGTGGAAATTGAGGGCAAAATGCTGAAGTAGAATGTTTTGCAACTTTTCTTCCTCCTCTGATCACATTTGCTCAATTTCTGCTTTCAGTGTTTTGGATGCAGAATTAATCATCCCTGATTTCAGGTTGGCTGTCATACTGTCAGGCTACTTATACCATTGCAAAAAATTAAACAATGCAGAAGAGGTCAGCAGATCTCTCAGGGATGCCTGAATTCAAGCAGTGTCAAGCTACTAGCAGATTTAACTCTTGCTTCAGTGTATTTCAGATTGTGCCAGTGCTGCTTCAGATTTCTCCTGAGAAATGAAACTCCAACCTGTTCTTTTCTTATGGGGCTTAAGTTTTATGATTGTGTATGTTGTGGACTGTCCTAACTTCAAAAAATAAAATCTTGTGCAGTTCCATGTTTTTGATATATGATAGTAGTATGAGAGATCTGCCTGTCAATATTGTAGTCTAACACAACAGTAGCTATGGTTTCTGAGATACTTTGGATTTATTGTGCACCCTACAGTAAAGCTGTTCTTTGCCACAGCAAAGATGAGAGACCTAGAAATGGAGGTAAAAGGGAAGAATGAGTAATTCTGTATGTGTATTCTCTGAAAGAATTCTCCATGTCAGGATGAAGGGAAATATTTGCTCAAGGATCTGCTGAGGTCAAATAACGAAGGTAATTTTTGTTTGTAAATGGTTAATCGTGACTTAAAAATACCCGTATTGACAGGAACTGCAGGATAAATGTCATTGGAACTTCTTGTTTTTTTAATACACCTTAAGAAATTAAACAAAGCAAATGCATTTGGTGGCGCCCTCAGGAAAAGTCCAGTCACTTCCTGAACAGTAATCTGCCTGTGAGCAGCAGATAGATTCTCATTGTTTGCCATTTCCAGTTTCCAGTAATGGGAACGATTACTTGATCTAGCCAGCTTCTGTTGAAGACCTGGGAAAACTTACAAATTTTAATGGCAAAATTTTATCTGTTTCCATAAAACAACAGCAGAATTTTGTACCTGGCGGCATCACCTCTGATGATGAATATTGTTTTATTTTTGAATTAAGTGTCTGTTCTTCAGGAACGAGATGTATCTTGCTCTTCTGGTGTTTTTCTTGCAGTGTAAGTTTGATAACTAAACATCTGGGTGGGTACATGTGTTTCTGGTTTGTTTGGGGTTTGTTGGGGATTTTTACTGTTTCCCGTTACTGTCTGTCAATCTGTAAGCTTTGAAAATAACATTTCTTTTAATTTTTTTCCAGGTTCAGAACTTTACACTCAGGAGAGAGGTAGGTAATGAAAGGGTTTTTTCACATACAAATTTAAAATAAGTAATTTAACTAATTCCTCAGCTGTTGGTGTGCATCCATAACAGAGTTTATCTGGATTTGCTGTACTATAGCTCAGTACGAAATTCGGCCGTGTAAAAAAAAAAGTATTACTTGGTAGTGTTTCTTGGTGTAGTGTTTAAATGAAAGATGTGCTTCTCATGCTTTAATAAATGTTTTGGTGAAATCTTTCCTAGAGTAATTTGCTTTACTGAGGCATACAAGAGAAGAGATGGGAGAGCAAATTTAATTACCAGCATTTTGTTTTAGTCTTTAAAAAAACCTTCTCATGCCCACAAGCAAGGAGGTGGGATAAAATTATAGAATATAAGTTAAGGGCACTGTCTTTTGCTCTTTTTCTTGCAAAAGAAAAGGTCATGTCTGATCAGAGTACAGAACTTGTGTTCTGAAAGCAATGTGTTTACTTTTTACGTTATCTTGCTGACTTCCAGCACATACACTCTGCATACTTCTTTTTTTTTCCATCACTAGGGAGAAATGTTTGCTTCTTGTTGTCATACAGTTTATTCACATGCAAAAAGGTTTACAATTTTTGCATTGGATTTATGCCCAAAACTCTCTCTGGCAAGGACAATTTATAAACAGCTGGTAAATGTACATGGCAATGGACTTCTTTAGATGCAGGGAAGTTTTCCCGTTCTAGTGGCAAATTTCTAATACAAATTCTGTACAAAATGGACATAACCAAAAGCTGTAAGTTCTAATGGAAGGGAAAGTGAGTGAACTCATAAATCTTTCTCTATACTTGTTCATCTAGCTGCTTGAATAAAAATATGTATTATACCAGCATTCTAATAATTACAGAATTTTAAGCTACAAGTTATTTATCATTGCTGTGGTTATAAACACAGAAGCACTATATATATATATTAATGCTATTATAAAATTTATTTCTTAAAGTGCTTATCAATTTTTAATTTTTTTAAATAGATGTATTGTATTCAGTATATCTTTTCAGGGTCTAAACATATCTAAGTTCTAAATTAATTGAAAGCATTGCATCTGCATATGATTCTGTATTTGAATTAATCAGGGTATGATTGCTAAGAAGTCTTGAGAGTATGATTGCTGGACTGCCAACAGTGTAGTTAGGCATGTACATGTTTGCTTGCAGAACTTGAACCCAAATATCTTCTGTTATGCTCTAGTTATCCTAAACTAGAGATTTAAGATTATCCCAAGCTTGTGAGTTACACGTTTAAAGTGGAATTTGCGAATGACATAACTCTAGCCTTAATTTCAGATAAAAAATACTGGGGTAATTCCAGGGATTTCTGCTAATTGGGGATGAATTGGCTTGGGGTTTAATACAACTCTAAGCAGGGATTTACTGTCATTTGTCAGTTTATTCAGACAAAATTTTGTTCACCTCTCAGATCTCCTGCCAATTACAGTTGAAGATAACAAGCCAGGAGAAATAAAGAAAACCAAGAAGTAGCTGCAAACCTGTTCCAGTGTCCTCTGTGTCTTCTAGGGAATTTAGTAGATTTGGCCATGAGCATGGGCAAATCAATGATTCTTTCAGTCCCTCAAGGCAAAGACTGAGCAGATGGGCAGTGTGTGCTGTGACAATCAGTAGTTGCCTCTATTATATCTGTGCCATGGAAGCTAAAGCTGCTACCACTGTCAATATCTGTGAGATCTGACCACAAAAATTATAACACTTGATACTAGGGTACAATTAATTAATTTTTGTGATTAAAATGTAGCAGCTTGAGATAATAGTATTATGTTGGACTAATTGAAAGTAAATATAACTCCTTTTTTTATTTTTTCTGTCAAGTTTTTACTTTCAACACAGTTGAAATCAAGGTTCAACCATCTGTCAAAGTAAAGAATGGAGCTCCTATGTCAATTGTCTGTCGTGCTGATATTAGCAAAAGTACCGATTTCCAGCTGAAGCATAATTTTACAATTTTTAAGGATGGCAAGCTTGTGTTCATGACTGTATCAAACAAAGGAGATGCACAGTATGAAATACCTATGGCTAGATCTTCAGATACAGGAGAGTATGAATGTACTGTGGAAGCAGGTGGAAAGACAAAATCTAGTAACTCCTTACACGTTTGGGTAACAGGTGAGTATTCCTTCAAACATGGCAGTTTTCTAAGATACAAAAAGAGAACAACCTTTCAGGGGAAGTAATAATAGTCAGTGCTAAATAGGATATCTTGCAAAGTGTTTTTTATCCATAGACATCACAGTACTTCACAAGAGTTTAGTACTAAATCTTCATGTTAAGGCACAGAAATGAAATCATGATCCCAAGGCTATATGGCAGAGCAGTGCTAGTCAGGAATGCAATCTGTGCCTCCTTCCCCTCTGTCCTGAGCCTCTGTTCTCTAGACTAGAGAAAGTATTATTTGTGAAAGCTTGTGCCTATAGATCATAAACATGATGGGGGTTGGGTAGATTACTAGAAAAGCTGGAAATAATGTATAGAGATTCTCACCTTGTGACAGCAGTTGCCAAAGCTAGTATCAACTGTGGACTGCTTTTGTAGACAATGTTATATCAGTCTTGTTCTTTCATCTCTTAGGAGACCAGGGGCCACCTCCATCTATATCCTTTCTAGCCATGTGTTCTTGACTGCAAGTGACGTTTTTCCCCTTGGAAAAGCAACTTGGAAAGAATTTGTTCAGCATTAAATAGTTACATGGTTGTGTAGGGCCTGTAATTTTTCTTCAGAGGCCTGCACCTCTAGGTACAGAAGTTGGGATGGCATTTAGTTTCTTCGCTTGCTCGTTTCTGAGTAGCGATAGGAAACCCTGAGGAGTAAGTGGTCTTACCTTCAAAAGAGCAAGTTTCATACTTCACACATTGCATCAAGATTGTATTGCCCTCTCGGGGGACATTTTGTTCTTCTGAAGTTGCCTTGGCATGCACCCACACATCAAAGGAACTGTCTTCAAAAGCTCAGTTCTTGCAAATTATTTGCATCTGTTCATTAGCATAAATCACTGCCATGGTTATCAGATATATTGTTTATTTCAGGATTATGCAATGTTCTAGTTCTTTTTTTGTTTTCTGTTCTAAGGAATGACCAAGCCAATCCTGACTGCTGAGAAAAAAGAAGTTTTAGAGGGTGAAGTTGTGAAATTGCGTTGTGAGCTGCCAGAAGAAGTACCTCCTTTATATTTCGTTTTCCGGAAGACAAAGATGAATTCAACACCTAAAGAAAAACTTGTATTTGAACCATACAAAAATTTTTCTGTAGTGGAATTTTCTGTTGAAGAGGGAGATAATATTTTACAATTTGATTGCTTTGGTAAGAGAAACGTAAAACTCGAATTTGAAAGCTCAGAATACAGCAACAAAACACTTGTTACAGTCAGGGGTAAGTTGCTTAGATTTTCTTTTTGCATTTCTTTGCTTGCTATAATTAAAAAGTTGGGTCCTGAGTTTATATGTATTCTTTTGCAGAACCATTTATAAAGCCCACTCTGAATGCCAAGCCCTCAAGTAATATTACAGAAGGAGACAGAATACAGTTTGAATGCTCAACTGTGGTAGCCCGAATGCATGACATTGAAATCATACTCCAGAAAAACAGAACAATACTGAACAGTACTGTGTACAAGTACGTACACGAGTACAGTGTACGAGATGAGAAACTTTTGAAATACTCGGCAGTAGCTACTCTAGAGGACAGTGGTGAATACCTGTGTAAGGTGGAGCAAGGGAGAACATCTAAAACCACCAAACTGAATGTTGTTGTGTCAGGTAACACCTCTGTGCATCTTAGATTTTACTCAGTGGGTTAATATTTAAATTTGGTAGAACTCAAGATCCAAGTGTAACCTCCAGATCCAAGTGTAAATTTTCCCTAAGTTAAAGGCTATTTAGATTTAGATTTCGGTTTCTGATTTTTGCCTGCCAATACTTTCCAACTAAAATAATACTTTCAAATAACACATATGAGAAGTGTTTTCAAGTGATTGCTAAGTTTCTGTTTTCCCCCAAAATGTTATTACATTAAAACCACATGATTGGTTTTTTCCCTGATTGTAAGCTTTCAGTATGCCCTTCATTCTGTATACTTTGAGATGGGTAGTCATACCCTTTTAGGCTGAATTTGAATGAATTTGTTCTCTTTTTATCTTGCAGAGTTATTCCCCAAGCCAATATTGGCTGCTTCAATGAGTAAGCTGGATGAAAATAAAGAATTAACTTTGAGTTGCAGCATTAGTGGTTTTCGGAAAGCTAACTTCTCTATATTACGGAAAAATTCAAATGGAGACATCTGGTTGAAAAATTCTAGAAACTTAACAATGCGAGTCAATGTGAATGATACTGGATCCTACATCTGTAAAGCTGAAGTAAGAGGAATAGTCAAGGAGAGCAGACCTGTAAGGATAAACGTGTATGGTGAGTTGATACAGAGGCTTAGAACCCAATGGTGGTGGGGGGAAATCAAAACCGTAAACTTATAAGCAAGCACATCTGTTTACAGAATCAGTTTCTAGTCCATGAACTAGCAGGTTGTCTATTAGTTCTTGCAATATTAGTTTCTGTGAGATGTGCTTGTCATCTTTAGCTGTAGAGGATTTGGCCTACCGTGATCTAATCAAGTCAGACTTTCCCAGGGCTGGCCCTAGGAGAAGGGATTTAGCATGTCTTCCCTCTATTCCCTTGATTCTGCTAGGTGCCAAATAAACTCTCATTCATTACCATTTTTAGGAGCTGGGAATGTTCTGCAAACCTTTCACTCATCAGTTTGATCTGAAACTCTGTCAGTGTCTGCCTTGAATCCCCCCCCCCCGATGCTCTAGGCAGAAAACCGTGAGAGCCAGAGGTCATCTGGATAGCTCTATTCCAGAAAAGCCAAGTTTTTTGCTATCAATACAACCCCCTCATCAGCACACTAATTATAAACACCCTAGTTTCCTTCCCTCTCATGGAACAAGCACAGTCAGTTCTCAAGTCTGTAAAGGGGGATTAACTGGGTTGTGACTCACTGTGCTGCAGAAACAGAGGTTCCCAAGTAGGTGCTGCAGGATCCATCTCAGGTAATACATGCAGTGGTACTTGCATATGTTTTTGCTTTACAGACTTACTCCTTGGGTCAGAGCTAGTTCTGGAGTTTGGATGATCTGCAGCTATGTCACTGGTCCTTTTTTTGTTTTCCTTTACATTCTCCTTGTATGCTATTTTATTCTAAGAAGTCACATATGTTCTCTTATCTATGGTTTTGTTTTGTTCAAGTCACCCCCTGCTTCCATTCTATCAATGAGGAAGATCTTCCCAATATAGGATGTGTGTGCAAAGTAGCTAAATATTGTATATTTACATGTTTTCTATAAAATAATATTGTATCTTTCGGCCTTATACAGTGTAATTTGCAACAATTTTTTTCTTTTATTCCCTTTTAGCTCCAGTCTCCAAGCCAACTCTTTCCGTTGTCAGTGGTTTACCGGAGGTGGTGTTAGGGAAGCCTCTACGGTTAATCTGTCGCTCAGTGATGGGAACACCACCAATAACATTCACATTCTACAAAGGAAATAATGAAGTTAAGAAAGTAGTCATTAATGACACATATGCTACGTTCTTGGATGAAAATATTAGACCAAATGACAAAAGAGGATACAAATGTGATGCTAGAAATAATCACTCCAGTGGTATGAAAACTAGCAATATTCTAAATGTCACAGTAATAGGTAAGTCTGTTTAATTCTTCTTCTTGTCTAATGTCATATTTTTATTTTTGAAACTGTAGCAGCAAATGATGGACTAAGCAAATTGGATGTGAAACATTTACAAATTTTTGCTCTCTTGAATTAAAAATAGTTGGAGATCTGTATCACAGACTATCTGTCACTAAAGTAAAAATCCTGATAGTAATTCCAATCAAGTTAACTACAGTAGAGTTTATTTTAATGTTAAAACCAGATCTGACTTGAAATCTTATAGAAGCTTTTTTATTAAAATTAATGATTAAAAATTTCAGGGCCAGATCCATTTTCTTCATGTTTGATTTTCATAGGACTGGATTAAATATATACGTAATGATATTGGAGTTAGCCTATGATTTTATTCAGTAAAATAATCAAGCTAGCTAGATTCCTGGTAAAAGACGTAAACTCACACTTTTAATAATCCCTCTAAATACCTCTGTTATTAGTTGCAGTTTTCAGAGGTACTGAGCATATGTTCAACACCAGAAGCTGCAGTTGCTAAATAGCTCTGAAAATCAGCTATTATTATGCCTTATTAGCAACTAGCTGTTACTGTATATGAGCAAAGCCTTTGATCTACAAATATGTGTGAAACAGAAAGGGAGAATTCCTCTGCCCATGAGGGAAGTTGGTAGTTGAAGCTTTAAAAAGAAGATGAATTGGAAGTCCGCAGAAGAAAGCATGATGTCTGAAACACGCTGGGAATCTTAGCAGTACTCCAAGAAGGGGAATGCAAGTGCAAAAGCTTTGGTTTGCAAATGTGCTATTGGCAGATATGAAGAGAAACTGAAGCAAATAATAATTCTGTAGTAGGCCACGTAAGACCAGTGTCAGGACTGATAACTCTTAAAACATGTGGATGTGGTTTTCCCTGTGATTACACATGTAAGGGAGCGTCTTGTTTTGGTAGGTTTTTTTAACCAGCGTACCATGTTTCTATACATTTGTTTGGTGCACTTAGAGCAGATGGTAGTGAGGTTTCACATGACAGTTCTTGGTTTAGATCCTAGTGCTTCAAACGTTTCGCTCAAGAAAATTCTATCACTGATTTAGGTATGTTCTGTCCCCATCACAAGTGGTTCCCTGTGTGCCCAAAGAACTTACTTGTTAACAATAAGTTTTTCTATAGGCCTTAAGGAAGTTTCTTGGCTACCCTGTAGCCAAGATGTGGATTGTACCTTGAATTTAATTTGAAAATCTAAGATAAATAATTGTAGAGAACAGAGTAGCTGTTTGAGGAGGTATACTGAAGCCTTCCACACTAGATGAAGGTCCCTAAGAGTTGCAGGCTTCACATTGACAGATAATGTCTTGTTGGGGTTCATCTTTAATAGTGAATGAGGTAAGCAGAAATAATAGTCTCCTACACAAGTGGAAATAAAGCATTGATTGTGACTGCTGCTCCTGGAGGACCTGAGAATATTCTTAATCTACAGAAGGAACCAAGGTATTGACCTTTTATTAAAGGAAATAATAATTTGCCTGTAACATCTTCAAAATGTTTGTCTGCTCAGTAGTGTCGCCTCTACCTTACTTGGTTCAGAGTTGGTCAGTTTCATCAGTCTGATGTTGTCAAAAAATTTGACTATTTTGGTAGTGGTCTGGCAATATGTGGTGAAAGATAAGTAGAGCTGTGTATCCTATGCATGTTGTTGGCACCTATGTTGATGTCATTTGACCAGATAGTAACTGCATACAGCTAGTGGAAAAAAATAGAGTTCTTTGGGACTGTAAGTAAGGGAATTCATGATGGTGGATCCACTTGTAGAGCCATTTTAACCCATACCCTTGGCTCCTTGCTACTTTTCTTGAATGTATCAGCAGTATTTTAGGTTTACGTAACCTGGTTACAGCAAAGTAGTGCAGGACCAGAGCAGAAGTCTATTCTTGACCTATTGAAACTACCAAGGAGTTTTCAGTTTTGTGTCCCATCTTGAACCCAAATTGTGTTGGTTTTAATAAGATAAACTTGTGGTCAAGATGCTGGTTTCTCTCTGAGTTTTGACATTGAGTTGTATACAACTAGAACAGATGCATCCAGCATTGTTGCATTTCTTCTGAGTCAGTTGGATTATTGCACAGTTGAAGGACATGCTTTCCACTCTCTGAGCCCCCAAACAGGTATTTGAATACAGTATTTGCATTTGCCTAGACTGTAGAAGTAGGACTGCACATTAAATTCATCAGTTCCACCAGGATATGCTTTGGTAACACTAGAGAGAAGCTGAATGATAAAACTCTGAAGAGATTTATCCAGTGAGATTTAAAGTCAAGGTAATTTGAAATAACAAGTAACAAATAAACAAACACAAAGCATAATCTTAGTCCATTAACAAGTGGGTATTTCTTTGCTGGAACTAGTGTATCCCAGCTGTTAGAGCAGTGGTTCAGGATATATTGTAACACTGTTTGGCAGTTCTGAATAGAAAGTTAGGTTTTGGAGCCTGGTGAGCCAACCTTCTGTAGTCCACCACTCCTGAGGTGGTGGTTTCAAATTCTGTGTATTCTGTCCTTCCTGTCTGTACCAGATCTGAAAAAAGGTTTTACAGAGCAGTTCTCTCTATCATGAGGTCAGTTGTAGTAACCCAGTCTTTTATTGAAATCTGCTTCCTGCTTCCTATCTAATACAAATACTGCTTTCATGACTAGCATCTTCTCATATCAGATTTGGTTTCCTCCTGCTTTTGTACCAGTGTTGCCTTAATGACTCCTCCTTTACATCTGCCTTGTGTTATCCATGACCCTGCCCCAAACACATTTATAATATTTCCAGAGAAATTTTGTTTAGCGATTTTAGCAAAACAGATGCTTCATATCCCAAACATTTTGTGAAGCTACTAACATTTTACGTGCCTTACATCACAGAATGTATGTACATTTTTTCCCAATGTAATTATAAGTGCTGATGCTCACCTGCTCCTATGCTAGCTCTGTATATGCCAATATACTTAATTTGTAAAAGAGCAAACTTAAAAACTGTATTTTGGCTATGTATATTCTTACAGCTTGTTCAACTGAAAACTAACTTCTCGCATTGTGTTTGCTATATTCTGTAACCATTAGAATTTTGGACTTGCTTATACCTTTGAATAACTTGATCCATTATCTGCTGATATTCATGATTGTATGTTACAAGAAAGATATAATGCAGTTAGCATAAAATAGCATAACTCTAACATAACATAACTATGAAAGCATAGCTACATAAATTGAACTATAATTATTTACACTATCAAACTGCTGAGTGTATTATTTCTGAAAATTAATTAATTCATAGGTTGGGGCCTGAGGGGCATCCAAAGGAGTTTAAGAAAAGAGGCTGACTGACTTCTGTGGAATGGATATAGTTTCCTTCTATGTCTGCTTTGTTTCTTCATAGTGCCCTCTCTATTTCTGGATGTATAAAAATATTTATTAGAGGATGCTGTCTGGCAGAGACTGTTCAGAAAGATTAATACTGTGCATTCAGTCTCTGTTTAACCAAGCATTAAAGCAAGTATTTCTACAATACAGTATTTTATCATCAAAGTTATTTCTAATAGTGCTAATATTTGTTTTCTTTGTGCCTTCGTCTGTAGTACCAATCAGGAATGCCAGCTTGGGCAGTATTCCATATGGAGAAGTGGAGGATGGCAGTGAGACTGCCTTTCTCTGCTCTGTGAAAGAAGGATCTTGGCCAATCCACTTCAGGATTTTTAGAAAAACTGATCGTGATGTCCTTCTATTTGAAAAAAGTGAAAATGCAGACAGAGTTATGTGGCGAAAGGAAGCAATGAACAGGCAGGACACGGGGACGTATTACTGCATAGCTTCTAATCGAGCTAATGTGGATGTGAAAAGCCATCCAATAACCATCAGTGGTAAGCTAACTTTTATGATAAGCTGCGTATTATGTCATCATGACAGGTGTGGTCATGTTATCTGTGATGTTACTAAGTATAACTCCCTTACTTGTTTTTGTTCCACCATTGTCAGAATTTAAATAGAGAGATCATTTATAAACAGAGATTGTCCAACTTGCATAGAATAGTTTAAGGGATGCTGAAAAGTCAAAGGAGCCAGATGCAAGCTAAAAGCAATACATTGTTGTACTGAGTTTTGGTCACAAAGGAGAGGCTCACTTTGCATGCAAGTCTCCTTAAAGTTCTTCCCCAGTGTGTAAGAAGGCCAGTTTGTAGTAAAATGAAAGGTCAGGAACTGCAGAAGTTGGTAATGATGACCTGTCACTGTACATACTCTCTTAAACATGTCTTTCTTATTTCTAGTCATCTTAGCGGCTTGGCAGAAAGGAATCATTGCTGCATTTGTCCTAATACCTATCGCAGGAGCAGCAACTCTCACTTTATGGTGGTTTTTGTGTAAGAAGAAAAAGGGTAATGAATGGTTCCCTTCTATTTGTTTGGTGACAAACATATTACAGTTAAACTTGCATTTGTTTCAGGAGAAAAGGCTTGTGGGGGTGAGGCTTCAGGAGATGAATAAATACAATTTAAAAAAACTAAAAAACTACTTAAAAATGCTGGGTGGCCCAAATTAATCTGCAAGTGTGCTGAACCTTTCCAAGTATATTGGGCAGAATGGGAACATCTAACTAATGGTGCTGGGAAGGCACTAGTGAAGCAAAGGTTATTTGAGATAGGCCAGAATTGCTCTGTCCTGATGCAGTCCTAGGTCTGGAATTCAGTCCTGTGCAATGTAGAGGCAGACAGGGCCTGAGGATTTTTTTGATCCCTTATAGAGCTATGACAATTTGATTTGGGGTCCCAACTCAGGTGTAACTGAGGTACTTCTCTAGTCGTCATGAAACAAATTTAAGATTATTAGTTTGTGGGGTTGTTTTTTTTTCTCCCCACACTGTAATACAGTTTCACTTAGGGATTTGTCTTTTATCATTAAGGTATTCTTTCAGATCTTGGTGTTTCAGAAAATAAGTAAATATCGTTTGTCCTGTGTTGTCCAGTACATTGCAAAATATTTGGGAAAATTTGGAGTATCTGGTTGTCCCAGACTGCTTAAATTGGCCAGGCTAAAGTCTGGGATTTGGGATCTTAGTTTGTCTGTGAAAGAGACATTTAAGGGACCTGGGTGATAAACAGGATGTAAGACACGAGATAATTAATTTTGTGATAGCCAAGAGAAATTATTCTGACTTGGGTAGATAATCACTATATTTTTGTTTTGATTTTTACTTTTAAATTTGTTTACTTGTGCAATCTATTAATAGATGCTTTTATTTTTCTCTGTCAAGCTAAAGGACCATCCATGGAGATGTCTGGGTAAGATGGCTTGCTTTATGGTAATGGTGAAGTATTTCTGTTTAAAGGGCTGGAGGCCTTTCACCATATGAATGTAGTTTATTATGGCACACACCTGCAGACAATAGATGGTTGTACTTCATGCACCACCTGCTAACACAACAACAGGATGAGGAAATACTCTAAAAATAGAAAAAAAAGGCCACCTAAGAGAAATACAAGAATGTCAGGCCTGCATTTGAGTGCATTTAGATATGGAATTAAAAATATAGAGGTCTTAAAGAAGAGTAATGCAAGAAGGAACATTTTTAACCTTAAAGTTTGTTTGTGTTTCTCTTAAAGACAAAGGCAAAATTTTCATTAGCTTCAGTAGTTAAGAATGTGTGGTAGTCAGCATAGACAATGACTGATGTTTGCATATCATCATGTTGTTTTTACTGACTGGTTTTGGATAATTGCATCAACTTTTATTGGTTGCTTTTCAGTTCTGCCTTGGCTACAAACTTGACAAGTGAAAAACTGACAAGACAGCATAATGATGGAGATTACTATACAGGTAGGATATTTTGTTGTAAGACTATTAGTGAGTTGCCTTAATTAAACATTTATTTAAAGTTTTGGACTTGCATGGTTATTGTTTGGAAAGGACCCAGTGTTTTGAGAATACAGAGGAATACCAATAACATTCTCCCAAGTATCTTCTATCATTTCGTCTTTGCACAGTTTTTTATGAGCACGTCTTATACAAAGATTGGTTTATGTCTGCTCAGATGCTTCTACCAGGCAGTCGGTTAACAATGTTACAGATGGAGAAATCAGGGTAAAAGAAAATTGCTTTCTGTTTTTGACAGTTTTGACACAGCTGCACAAAAATTATTTCAGAGTGGAAATTTGAGCTGTGGCACATGGTCCTGTAATGTGGCCACAGTAGAGCAATGTTAACTTGCCATGACTGGGCACCTTTCATTCCAGGATCTCAATGCACTTTACAAAGATAGGTGGACATGTTGCTTAGAGCACCTGATAGAAACAAAGTTACCCTTGGGTGTTTCTTAGCTGATCCTTTAAAAAGCCACATTCTTCCTACCTGTGTTATATGAATGTCCTAGGTGTGAATCTAAAAGTATGTGTTGGTTTTGGCTGGGATAGGGTTAATTTTCTTCATAGTAGCTAGTATGGGGCTATGTTTTGGATTTGTGCTGGAAACCGTTTTGATAATTCAGGGATATTTTAGTTATTGCTGAGCAGTGCTTACACAGAGCCAAGGCCTTTTCTGCTTCTCACCCCACCCCACCAGCGAGGAGGCTGGGAGGGCACAAGGAGTTGGGAGGGGACACTGCTGGGACAGCTGACCTCAACTGACCAAAGGGATATTCCATACAATATAACATCATGCTCAGCAATAAAAAACTGGGGGAAGAAGAAGGAAGGGGGGATGTTTGGAGTTACGGCGTTTTGTCTTCCCAAGTAACTGTTATGCATGATGGACCTCTCCTTTCCTGGAGATGGCTGAACACCTGCCTGCTGATGGGAAGTGGTGAATGAATTCCTTGTTTTGCTTTGCTTGCATGCGCAGCTTTTGCTTTACCTATTAAACTGTCTTTATCTCAACCCACGAGTTTTCTCACTTTTACTCTTCTGATTCTCTCCCCCATCCTGATCCGGGGGGAGTGAACAAGTGGCTGTGTGGTGTTTAGTTGCTAGCTGGGGTTAAACCATGACAAAATAGAATTTCTCATATGTAAAAAAACATAATGACAATAGGAATTGCAGCTATGTATCTGATTTATTTAATTGGCTATAATAAATATTTTGTCAGCCTAACTTTTGCTTTAATATTTTAGGATCGAGTTACATTGAAGATAGTGAAAATCACATGAAATCAACAGATGAGAGTAACGGTAATTTCATACTTAAACAATAGATTTTAAAATAATTTTATGATTGAAAGTTGTGATGTTTTCTAATGGTAGCAATCAGGATTTGATAGGTCCTGTCCTTTCCTTTTTCTCTTTCATAGTGGGGAAGACTCCTTTGCTGAGCTTATTTCTTTTTCCATATGTGCGAAATGATAATGATAGGACCCATTTACCAACTGCGTTATGAAGTGTAATTAGTTGTGCTGGATTCCAGGCCAGCTAATGAAGTATGGTATAATAGTACAACTTAAACTCAAAATTTTAAGTTCTACACAACAAATAATCAGAAATATATATATAAAAAAATCGTTTCTACAGACTTCTGCTTCTTTTACTTCTCTGTCCTTTCTTCATTTCTGCAGATCTTGAAATATTTAAGCATTAAACCTAAAAACAATATTCTATGAAATCTGAATAAAATAACCTGCCAAATACCTTGAGACACCATGTGGGCTATATATATGTATTCATTGAAATGTGTCATCAAGTATTGCATCATCTAGCACATTGTATTCTTCAAGACTGGTGTTTTAAAGATATTTAGTCAAAGAATAGTACTTAAATATGTGGGTATTGCCATCTGAAAGCATACTTTGTCCCATATATTTTTGTTTTATATTGATGTGAAATTATTTTCATGGGTTAGATGCAATTTCTGATGGCTTATGGTACATTTTGACTTGGTTGTCTATTGGACCATGAGTTGAAAGATAGTTAGAAAGGCATCTAGTGTAACTAAAGATCAAAGTTAAGCTAAAATTAATCCAGAGCATGGAACTAAACTCCTGCATAAGCCTGTATGCAATATGGGTGGCAGGAATTTCTAATCGATAATTCTTTGATGCAATTCTGAGTGTGCAGGGTAGCATTGTAGCACAGAACTAAGAGACAGGTGCTGCACCAAGTTAATTTCACAGGAAAACTTGGAAACAACCTTTGGAAACTCTAGCTCAATGACTTCTCCCCCCGCCCCTGAAATTGTATCCTACCTGTTTCAGATGAAATGGGCTTTGGTCTAATGACCTGCATGTGTGCCAGAAATAAACAGGTTCAATCCTTACCTACTGTGGATTGGGCAGCTTCATTAAAACCAACTAGGCTATTGCAGATCTCTCCACCAGATGTGAAAAACAAGTCTATTATTCACATACCTCTGAAAATAACAGCATCTGTTCTGCATTTGTGTGGCAATAGCTTTTACTTCAGCAAGTAAAAGGAAGGAGCTTATAGTCGGTGCATGGAAGTTATTCCGTTGTGGCCTGAATAAGCCAAATTAGAACTAGAGAAATGTTCTCATGCAAAACAAACATACAGACAGCAGAAACATAGGAACATAAGGCTGTATGGATCATTCAGAATCACTGCTATTGTAGGAAGCATGTCATTTAAACTCTGTTATTAACTAATATGCCACCTTAAACACCATTTTTGTTTTGTTCTGCTTTTTTTTTCCTTCTCTCACCAATGCTATTGGAAGGCTGCTCCAAAACTTTGCTGTTCTAATCATTAGATCTTTCTCTAATTTCTGTTCTAAAAAACCCACAAGCAGTTCTGCAGGATTCCAGTCTGACTGTTTTGGTTCCTTGCAACTTCTACAAAAATCTAGTAGAAACCATCTCCACTGTAAGGAAAAGACAGAGTAGAAAGCAACAGCTGTTTCCTATGTTGTATCTAGGTAGCTAATACTTGTCAGCCAGTAGTCTTAGTAAATCAGGTGTCTAATCATTGTCAGGTTTTCTGATGGCATTGTGGCAGAGAAGCATTCTAAGGAGGAAGATGGGTTGCTGTTGTAGATTTCTATGGAGAGCCTGAATGGAAATGTAAGAGAAAAGTGCTGAAATTGCTTATCGGCAAAGCAGAAATTGAGAGTATGAGAGGTGATGAGGGAGGCCATGAAAGACTTAGAGAAGGCTTTAAATGTGAGGAAAGTGGAGAATGGGAAGTGTCCTGCCATAGCAGCCATATAAAAGGAGGAAAAAGTAATGGTAGGGAGAGAAATAGAAGAGAGAGGAGCTGGAGCAGGATTATGGGAGAATCTCAGATAATTCACCACTCTGTTTGTGTTGGGCCACTTTTTGAAGGTATTAAATTGAAAATAAGAGTTTTAGGCACAATTTGCACATCCCACGGTTTCAGAAATCTGACTTGAATTGGTTTACTGCCTTTCAGATTGGGATGACCATTAGGAATGGGTTGGCCTTACAACTCTTAGCAGAGTCACTCACATCTCCCATAAATAGGGCCTGATCCTGCACCTATCCAAGTCAACAAGGACTTGTCCCTTAATTTCAGTGGCAGCAGGATCAGGCCCACAGCTCAAATGAAGCATGCAGTCCTACAAAGAAACATCTTCTTGATATTTTTGGGGCAGGACCTGACCTTGAGAGTGCTGAGGTGGAGTACACTGAAGTTGAAGTATCAACGCTTGATCCTCACAGAGGTAATAAACTGTCTGGCCTCTATGGTTTTGTTTTGGAAGCAACTCTGGGCATGTTGCCACTCCATGACACTCGTCTGATACTGGCACCTGTGAATGTAAGAGCAGGTTGTGTTTTGTGTGCATGACAGTTTCATGCCAGTAGTGGTCCTTAATCTAGATGATACTGTGGTAACCGTGCTGTTGTTCATTGCAGTCCTTCTTCCCCTGGGATCCTCTCATGCACTTGCCCTTCCCATCCACATGAGGTCTGTGCAGAGCTGGGCTCACAGCTGGACCTGTGGCTCTGAGCAGAAGGCAGCCTGCTGCGAATCTTCGTGTTACAGAGTCCAAATTCAGTGACAGCCATTTGACGTTAGCCACAGGGTAGGATAGTAGAGAGAACAGAAAGCAGTGGAATTTCCTCCTTTATAAAGGAGCTGGTTGAAGGGTCAAAGCTGTAATTCACTTGTGATAGAGAAGGAAAAGAGACCAGTGTAGATATAGTCTCTCAGTCTGGAGAGGCCTGGAGACCATCCTGGATTTTGTGGCATATTAAACAGAGAAATGAGAATATTGATGCCCAGCTGACTTTGGCCTCCTACCTGTAGTTCTATGGTAACAGTAATCAGACCTCATAGCATGAGGCTAAGGTACATGTCTCTGCAATCTTGAAGGAGAAATATCCACTGAAATTATTCTCAACATCCAAATGCACACTTCAATCATTCTGTGTCATCTGGAGAACTGTGATATCATTATGCCCTTGTGTTGAAAGCTGTTAAATCTTTCAGAAATTTTCAAAAAGTTTCAAGTAGCTAAGAGTGAATAAAACCCATGAGAGATGTTTATGCTATGCTTCTAGCCTCTTTGCTTTAGCTGAATGATAAGCAAACTGAGGAAGAAATGGATCAATTTGCTTTTTCCTGGTAGGAAGGACCACGCACATATTTCAGAGACCAAAGACACGATTGTTTAGTTAATAATACAGATGTTTGGGCAAAATTGCTCACTCTTCAAGCTTGGCAGCAAAGCTCTCCTGGAACAGCCAGTCCTCCTATTCTTTCTCTGTTTTTGCTTGCTGGTATCATTCATCACAGAGTTTTCCCTGTGTTCTAGGCATGCTGTTTATCCACGTCTGCTAAATTCTGCACTGAGATACCATAGTTGTACCCTTTTTCAGAATAGGGCTAATACTTAATTGCTCCAACTGTTTCAGAGCGTGTACTACACAATACAATGGTGTAAAATGTTAAAGATATGCTAGTACATGATTATTTAATTTAAAAGCCCTATTAAATGCAAGATCAGCATCTCTAAAAATAGCTTTTTCATCCCATTCCTGATACATAACACTATTCCAGTATACCTGTCATGGTTTAATGCCAGCCAGCAACTAAGCACCACACAGCTGCCCGCTCACTGCGCCCAGATCGGGATGGGGGAAAGAATTGGAAGAGTAAAAGTGAGAAAACTCGTGGGTTGAGATACAGTTAGTTTAATAGGTAAAGCAAAAGCCGCACGTGCAAGCACAGCAAAATAAGGAATTCATTCACCACTTCCCATCAGCAGGCAGGTGTTCAGCCATCTCCAGGAAAGGAAGGCTCTATCACGCATAACAGTTACTTGGGAAGACAAAATACAGTAACTCCAAATGTCCCTCCGCTTCCTTCTTCTTCCCCCAGCTTTATATGCTGAGCATGATGTCATATGGTCTGGAATATCCCTTGGGTCAGTTGGGGTCAGCTGTCCCAGCTGTGTCCCCTCCCAACTCCTTGTGCCCTCCCAGCCTCCTCGCTGGTGGGGTGGGGTGAGAAGCAGAAAAGGCCTTGGCTCTGGGTAAGCACTGCTCAGCAATAACTAAAATATCCCTGAATTATCAAAACGGTTTCCAGCACAAATCCAAAACATAGCTCCATACGAGCTACTATGAAGGAAATTAATTCTGTCCCAGCCAAAACCAGCACAATACCAGACTGAGTAATAACATAGTATCCATGCTATGTAGACTGAACCCCATTAAACTGCAAACTGTAAAATAATGTTTAAAAGATAGTATGTAAATTAGATCAGATTATTTTAACTGAATGCTGTCTCATGTTACAGGCCTATTTATGACATACAGAACATTAATTGATTCTATAAGACTGAAATGTGCCTCCAGCATATTGAGATATGATAGCTCCCTAATCTATTTCTTTTGTTGCACCCAGGGCACAAGTGATGCTTAGCAAATGCATGCTTTGGTTATGTAAATGGCAACTGCACTGCAAGTATTTAATGTGTTAATCTTTTAGAGCATCTTGAGGATGCTGCTTAAATGGAAGGAGTTATATGAAACGAAGTTGCAAGATGAATTCTTTCAGCTCTGCACTTCCTATTGCAATGAGAACAGGATGATATTTATTCTTGGGAAAAGAGAAGCAAAGCCAAGTTTCTTTATATACCCTTGTAATAATCATGTACACCCACAAAAATAATTCAGCCATAGGAATGCCACCCATACTTCTGCCACGCTGATGTTATTGTACAAGTATTGTTTCAAACATAATATTCTTTCATGTCTGTCTGTGGGTTATGAACAGTCCTTCTTAGGGAACAGACCTTTCAGATTATCACCTAGCTCCAAATCCCTATTGCACCTCTTCTGATTCCACCTATTTTCTGAATGAAGACAAAGTATATCATGCTTACCTTTTCTCTGGGCATGCATATCTCATCCAGCAGGCTGTACATAGAGTCTGATTCCTTCTGCCTTCTGAGGAATTCCAGATTTCTTTGATTTCTCACAACTAACTTCAAATTAATTTATCTTCCCAAACATTTGTTCCTCCTGCCACTGTTGTCAATGTCAATACTAATGTTCTTCTCAGGAACAGGAGAATCATATTCTATGTATTGTGAAAGACTACTGCAAAAAATGCTGCAGTATCTAAGCTATAACAGTAGCCTTTATGTCACTTGGGAATCAGGAATAATTGAATGCCACCTCAAAACAAGTTTACATACTTGTAGAAGGATGTACATCTTGTCTTTGACCTGTTTTTCCAGCCATGTCTGCGCTACCTGTATAATGGCAAATAGGTTACTCTATCAAGAGCTTCATATGTGCTATGCTTCAGTATGAGGAGCAAAAACCAGTGTTACTGATAGTGAGTGGTAAGCTTGCTTGAAACAAAGTTTCACTGCTTTATTTTAAACTTCCATGTGGAAATAACTTGATGCCTACTTCTTGAAGTATGGGTGAAGAGGCTAGACAAATATGAGGTAGAGCTGGGGCTACACAGTCCAGCTCTTATTTGGGGTAGTCATAGTGAAATGTTAATTTGATATTTAAAGAGGTGGTAATTCTAGAGAATAGTTACATTTAATACTTACAGAGATCATGTTTGACAAAAATACAGTGCTTATCTTTTCTAAAGCTTAGTGGTGCAAAAAGGCAGCAAAATGATTTAGACTCTTTATTGTTAATCGGAGCAAAAACAAAGGCTAGTGCTGAAGTAAGATCAGGAAATATCCCTGAAGTGAGAAGAGAGAAACCGCTAATCATGGCTGAGTAAGAACATGCTCCTTCTTTTACTTTTATAGCTGGTTAGTTATCTGCAGGGTGGCAACATTATAAAGTTAGTGGGAACAAAATGTCAAATCATCCAAGTAATTTTTCCTAGCACATTTTTTCAGTGCTGAGACAACTTCTGGATGATTAACAAAGAAAATAACATGGGCAGTGGCATTATATCACAATTTAATGAAATGAGTCTGAAAAAAAAAGCTAGCTAAGGAAATGCCTCTCACCAAGTCTTTCCACAGAGTCAACAGGAGTAGATTTAAGACTGTAATCTGTTAAAAATAAGTGTTCCAAATGAAATGAGCTACCTCTCATTAAAATTCTGAGAAGATTACTTCTTACTTCACTGGAAATTGAATTGATCATTTAAGTAATAGTTCATAACCACATGAAATGCGCTTCAAGATCTTCAGACTATTTTGCAAAGAAAGTTCATGCCAAAACTGCAAGTTTGAAAGCTGTGATTAGGCACTCAGTGAAGTGTAACTCCTACTGTCGTTGAAATTAATAGCAGTTTTGCAATTCAATTCTGATGTCTTAGCTCCCAACACTTAAAGGTTGCTTAACAGAATTAAAAAGAGTGAAATTAGCTTTGGGAAATTAGAATGTGGTGCCAGAGACACCTAGGTGCTTCAGAGAGATGCAGAACAGTAACAGTCCTGACTCTGAGTCTGGCTGCAAATCAATATGTCTGAATTCTTTAAATGTTTTTTTTTATAGCTAAAGTACAGGACTCTATCCAGAAATGTGAATTTTCTTTCCAGTTTCTTGCAGAGGAAACAACCATTTATTTGTTTTTTTTTTAACTTAACTTTTAACTAGAAAAATCTAACTTCTTGGTTTACTGAAGATCCACAGAAATTGGAGTGATATTAATAGAATTCTGAATTTTTCCAAGAGACTCAGTTTAACTGAAATGAACGAATGTTTCTAAAACGCTTTGAGATTCTTGAACAACAAGCTCCTAGACCCTGCCTGCATAGGCCTTTATACCAAATGAAGAAAGTGGTTTTAAATGCAGAGAGTTTTAGAGCACTTTGCTTTACTGTGGTTGCCTAGGGATTCTTAATCTACAACCCTGCAAGAAATCAAGGAAATTGTTCTAATCTCCTACTAGCCAGAGCTGTGTTTACACTGACCATAGAGAAACTGAGTTCTTGCTATTTTCAGGCCTTTAGACAAGGCTCTGCCCCTTCCCTAGTGGGCTAAGTGCCTGTAGTTTGGCATCAAACTGTGGATAGGTTTTCACAGATGTCAGATAGCAGAAAAAGAAAGAGCTTTTTGCTTTCCATCATCTCATACAAGAGCAGAGGTTTACGGGTCTTATTTGTAAACCTAAGGGTCCAAAAAGTATGTGTCTAAGACTAACATTGCATTTGTATCTCAGCTGTGTCCTTGGAGGCACCAATCTTCTCTGTCTGCTTTTTCTCCTTACTTTCTATCTTTCCACAAGCCT